CGCGCGCTGTATCATTTTCACTGTCTATCAATCTTCTAATGAATAAATGTATTTTAAAAAACCGCGATAGAAGTGAAGCCGCGAAAGTCGAAGCGCGAAATGGCGAGGGACGACTGTACTGGAATTGTCCTTGTTTACGTGCTAACCCACTCTATTCCTGTATATATCTGTCCTTCTTACAGAAAATGGAGGTTCTGGGGGTGCTGGAGGGGCACCTGGGTGCTTTGACAGCAGCAGAATTCTACTCCTGGGATGGAGACTTCCTTGTGTCTGTCTCAGAAGATAGGACATTCAGGGTACATTAAACAATTAAAATAACGAAGAAGGAGACCCCAAGCATTTGTAACTTGTACCAAATTTATATTACTGTTTATTTTTTCTATGTTAAATATATATATCTATTTCTTTTGAGGGGCATCAGTGAAACAGCATTCCTCATGCAACACTATAGATATAAACAGAAAAGGTTATGCTTTATTGTGTAAGATGTTGACTTTCTCTCTGTTTACAAGCTTTGGGATGTGGCAAAGGAACAGGTACTTCATCAGTCTTCTGTGCTTTCAGGTATGGGGATTTTCTGTGAGGCATTTCCTAAAAAAGTTACAAATGATAAAAATACAAATATTAACATACACAATATTCCATAGCTTTTCCTTTGCTCAGTGTGTATCTATGCAAGAAAACCAAGCAGCTGGTTACGGGGTCCGCTGATGGACAGGTCAGTATAAATACGGTCACATGACCTAGGTCGTATGACCTATTAATTTCCCAGAAGTCCTTGCAGCCTTTTACATTTTCTATTTGGCTGTGGCTTTAGGTGTGGTGCTTCACTCTCCCTAACGACCACAAATGTCGCTTGGTGAGCAAACTGGACCTTCAGAAGGTGGTGCAGAGGAATCGGTCATATGGAGAAGAAGGTACTGAGTGTTCAGGTGGGTCAAATGGGCAGAGGTGTGAGGCAGTGGAAACCAGGTCAATGTTTAAGCTTTAAACCCAGGATCAGGAAAATAGTAAAATGTAAGTTTTTATTGTCTTGTGGTTTGGAAACCATTGTGATTCTGAGATTGCTTTGATAATATTTACTGAAGGAAGCAACTTGGACTCTTGTTAATATTACAGCTTTGTTACAGGCATTAATCCTGTCTGTAGTCTGCCTGCAGCTCTCCAGTGTTAAATTTCAGATAAAAAAAAACAAAAACTCAGAATAAGTATATTCCTTTGTGGCTCTTTGTTCTATAATCCCCCATATTTAATGACTCAGGAACTTGTATGT